GTCCCATATCTTGTTTCTTTTCTTTTGAGTACTGGTAGAAAGGTCTCCCTCTTCTTGACAGTTTGTTTCCAAATGTTATCTGTTTTGTCATGTTTGTGCGTTGTTTTCGACGCATAGTGTGGAAAATTCTATCGTTTAGTAAATTATATTTAAGTTATTTTCGGTGTGCGGCCTAGCATTGAATGTCGCTATCAAAAAGCGGTGGAGATGCACAATTACTCGTTCTTGATATTTGTGAGAAGGTGATCACTCTTGAAATCTCACCGCAAGATGCTTTCGCTAAGCTTGAAGAGTTGAAGGTAAGATTTAGATTTAAGATTAATAATTATTCGGAAAAGCATAACAACGCTTAGTCGTCGGTAATTATTGGACTCGTATGATTCGGTATCGAAAATTTTCCAATCAGACCGCTTCATATTTGCCCTTTCAGACAACTTTTCCGCTATTACCGTCTCTTCTTCTCGATGTTCTGGTATCCGTCGAAGGTGATGCACAAAATAGCGAGATCAAAGATAAAGCTGTACCAAAGTTTGCTGAATTCGTTGGTCTGGTGGCAGATAAGGTAAAATTATCAAATAACATCTCTTCTCAAAGTACTAAAGCATTCAGTGTTTCAGATTGTTCCTGCAGACATCCTGAAGATTGAACTGGATGTGTTAGAGGCATCTCTGCCAACAAATAAGCAACAACTTGTGCGGTTGAAAACAAGGCTTTAGTGAGTTTGTTTTCGTATGCATTTTTTCCTTTTTTTGCTTCATTTACTCCTCGAGGAAAAAGCGTCATGGTCATGGTTGAGGTTTTTTACTTTTGACTTCACAAAGTCAGCACAACACATCTTGATTAGGAAGATTTGGTTGCCTGTAGGTTTAGGATCTGAAATATTTTGAAGGAATTTTCCATTGAATCTGGTATTTTCAAAATACATTGACTATTTTTTACGAAGCGATTTAATTGACTGAATCTTCTACGAGAACTTTGTGATGCCTTGTAATAACTTATTTAATTCAGCTACAAACAAGCCAAGTTCAACTTACTACGTGAAGAAAGCGAAGGATATGCGAAGCTAATAACTGAGCTGATGGATGGCGGAGGAGGTATACCAGCCAAGACCATGATGACAAGAGTGCTGTGTTTGATTGGTGAGTATACTGGTGTAAAACTTCATTCGTTGTGCTGATTAGCTTATTGTGATACCTGCTTTCTGATTACTCTTTTATACCCAAAAAGTCCGATTATGGAACCTCTCCTTTTAGGTCAATTCAATCTTGACCCAAATCGGGTAACAGACATCGCTTTGGAGTGCTTCGAGTGTTGCGCTTCTCAGAAGCAGTTCTATATTGCTCTTTTGAAAGAAATCAAAGCCAACAAGGACTATTTATGCACCCTTCTTGGTTTCAAATATACTT